AAACTTCAATTCTTCTGTGCACTTGTAAAAATGAAATGGTCCATTCATAACTACTATGTTAGAGTCCAGCTTGTGGGCATCCTGCGAGGCTTTTCTCTTGTGTCCCACCCAGGGTGGAACCTGGCTGCAGGGATGCTTTTGTCACCCTGCACCCAGGCAGGTGACTCTTCTGCAGAATGCTAGTTTGTTTTGGCCTTCTACACATTTCAGCCTTTGCTTGCTTAAAGAAATGGTTGTTCTTTATTCTTCCACCCATCCATGAGACTGATAAATAATGCAGCACACCTCCCTCAGATGGCAGAATAAAGTGTCAGCAGCAGCTTCTTCTCTTGTGAAGTGCTCCTCCACAGGTATTAATTAGCAGCCACTGTGTTCAACAAGCCTCAAATGCTCAGCAGAATGGTGACGAAAGCATCGACAACATTCCTACACACAGAGGCAATGCCCTAAATGTATACTAAGATGCAGGTCAGGAGCACTCCTTAATCACAGAAATCACTTCACCCGGTAGTCTGAATCAGAAGGAGGCTGCTAGGAAAAATGTATCTGCTGGATGTGGGAAATCCTCAAAACTCAGCTAGTACTACAGTTCACTGGAAAAACCCAGGACAGCTTGGACTAGAGAGAAAAAGAACAAGCACATCATGTGCAGGGAGCTATGTCCCTGTATGGATTACTGGTCCTTCTAGGTCCAGGGCTCCAACTCCAAGAGGATTATACAGGCCCAATCACTCCTACAGGCACTGGGGTGAATGTTTCCTCTGCTGCAAAGGGGTAAATGTTTCCTCTGACCCCTTTAAAGGGCCTGATTCTGCTGCATCTGTTGGCTCACCTCTTAAAGAGACAGAGCATAATCTCTGTCTGGTTGCCTAGAACCTATAGCCTATAGTATTGCATCCACACAGAGCAGAGCAGCCATACCTCTCTGCATTGCAAGACACTGGAGGTCACTGGAGAGGGTGAGCCAGAGCATTCAGAGGATCACTGTGAACCATTTTCTACAGTCTTAATTTCATTTTGATTTGTATTCCAGCATCTTGGCAGTTCAAGGGATGGAACCTGGGCAGTGACCTGTCTGGCTAGTGAGGGCCACTACTTTCTGCTCAATGGGATGGAACTGGGCACACTGCTAAGAAAAGCACCTAATGCCTCCTGGCATGGGCAGCACATTCCCTCCTGCCTGAAAAAAGCAATAATAAGAAAATCTTTCCTTGCCCAACAGATGCGGAAGTCACAGGCCAGCCTCAAGTATTCCATCTAGGTAAGGTAACTGAGGCCAAGGTAACTGAGCAAGTGGTAGCCTTGGAACTCTAGATTCATTTGGATGATACTAAGTATCTAGACCTGCTTCCATCAGGCTTTCATCTGGGATACCAGACTGAGATCGGTCTGGTCACCTTGGAGGATGACCTATGCCAGGAGTTGCACTGGAGAGAGTACAGCCCTACTTGTTTTTCTGGACTTCTCAGTGGCTTTTAATACTATTGACCATGGCAGGGCAAGGCTTCCAGTGCTTCCTGTCAGGTCATATACAGAAGGTGAAGAGTGGATGTGTAGGAACTCCTATGTACCTGCCCTGTCCATGGGCCTACGGTGACCCACAGTTTTCCATTTTGCCCCATGTGTGTTATTTAACATCTACATGAAACTATGGGCAGAGGTCAGTCAGAGCTTTGGAGAAAGAGGGCAGCAATATGTTGATGACACCCAGCTATGTCTCCATGTTACCTGACTGCAGGGAGGCTGTCAACGCTCAAGAATGTTGCCTAAGTTTTATTCTGGGCTGGATGAGGATGACCAAATTGAGATGAATGCAGGAGAAACAAAGCTGTAGCTCAGCTGTAGAAAAGTGTGCTCATGGAACAGATCAGCCTGTTCTGGATGTAGACCTTTGTCCCGTTAAAGTGAAGATCTGCTGCTTGCGAGCGTCCCTGGATCCCGTGCTGTCCCTCAGTCTTTAAAGGCAGCAGTGGCTAGGACACATTTGCACAAGTACATCTGGTGTACCAACTACAGCTGTCCCTGGGACAATTCATGGTGCTAATTTTATCCCTTAAAGCTCTAAATGACTTGGGAACTTGCTATCTGAAGCCGTTCATTTACTGTGATCAGCAGAAGAGGCCCTTTTGAAGATCTCCTCACTCCCTGAAGCCCTATTGCTGGGCGTGTAGGAGAGGTTTTTGCTTTCAGACTGGAGGACACTTCCTCTGGAGCTATGGCTGCTCCCTACTCACTCTGCATTTAGGAAAAGAATAAAGAAATATCTTGAAAATCTGGCATTTAATATTTTTCCTGGTTTTTAATATGTTAGCATGGTGCTATCTATGCCATTGCTTTCTGAATTTGTGTAGTCTACCTTGGTTTCTAGAAAAAGTATTACAGAAACATAGTAAGTAAGCAAGTCTTACTATTTTTCATTTTGGTAAATAGAAATTGCCTGAAGGATGTCCCCTCAGAATTCTGTCTTATCGCCTTGTATAAATAGAGCAGCAAATAATTTCAACTATGCCATTTCTACAATACAGTGCCTCAGATTATATGGACTATTTCTAGAACTATCACAAAGTGAAACCCTAAAATTGTCACATCTACTAAAGAGAAACTTGGTAAGATCTTTAAATATTTACACTTATGCACCATCATAAAAAGGAAATATATGTGAAAAGAAAAAAGTGGTAAAGATTTGCATAAATGTGTGTATGCTAATTTATATGTACAGACACAAATATATAAAATAGTTATTATAACTTAAATAGAAATATAAAGTAAATCACCATAATGGGGAAGCAGACTATGGCCGAATAACCTGTGTGCCAGCTCGACTGGCCCATGTGGCAACTGTTGATGAACAGCTTCATGGCCCTGCTTTTTCTTCTCCTGCTGTTTTATCTCTACCCGATTAATGCAGGCTTGGACTGAACAGCCCTTCCTTCAACAGCCCTTTAGCACTCCATATTTCCAGAAAAGCCAAAGAGATTAGAATGCACATTAATTTGAAAATCCTGCATGTGCACTAAGTGATAAACAAATGACAAATAATCCCACAATTAAGACATCAATAGAAAGCAATGTTCTGTATACACTGACTACAGATGTAAACCACTAAGCCACAAACACTTCGCTTACTCTATGTCATCATTTCCATTAAAATAAATCTCTCTGTGATTCAACTATTCAATCATTATTCTGGGATAAGAGCATACTAGTTTAGCCTTCAGAATGAAAATGTATCCAGCTTTCCTGATTTTTTTATCTATGGATTTAAAAAGTTTTCACCATTGGAAATTTTAAAAATAATATAATAAAATGGAAGCCTTGTTTTTATTGTGCTTTTCCAGAACAATCAGAAATGTAAAAAACAAATAATGAACAGGCATTAAGGGTTTCCCTCTTTTGGCAAACAAACTTTAGTCAAAATTCACAAAACATTTTATGGAAGAATCATGTACTATGTTAATGTCACCACTGCATGACCAGCAGTGCCTTTTCATATATGAGAAAGGGTCCAAATGTGAGAGTTGCCCTTAACAGTTGGAGAAACAGCTGAATAACGGTTTCACTGTTTGCTGAAGAAAGGTGGCACTGGGGACTGGATGTCAGCACAAGCATATACTTTATATAATTAAGGAATGTTAGCTAGCAGCCAGAGGAGGGGAACTCATCGATCTTCAGCTGGGAGTGAGGGGAGTCATACCCCAAACTAAGGTGGGATGTGCCACCCGCAGTAGCAGCCACTCCGTTTTATGGTTATGGGCTTTTCTTTTATTCTCGCCTTTTAAAAAAGAAGATAAGGCAAAAGGGGAAAGAGTAGAAAAAATAGAGGAGGTAAGAAAGACAGATTCAGTTATAAGTACCATTCAATGGGGTATGTCATCGAGGAGGTGGACCTATTAATCAGGAACTTTTCAGTGTGAATCTTACTTCTGTTATAAGCTTATCGGGTGGTTGTAGGCAAGCCACCTTCTCTCAGCCTAAGTCTTTTTCACCCGAACTTTGGGGCATAATAATACTGATAGTACTGATTTACTGAGAAAATGTATGTGTGTGAAATGTCTGAACACCAAAAACGGGGTAGACATGGCTTCCTGGTCCAAAAAGTACTGCAGGTGTAACAGACAGTACAAAACAAGTTCATCAATAAATATGCTGCATCAAGCCTGAAGTTAATGAACTGTAATTCACAGTTCCATGACCAAGAAATTATGAGGGAAAGGTTGGGAAAGCAGGTTGATGAGGTGACAGAGAAAAATAAAAGTACTCGAAAATCAGGGAGGCAAGGTGTAGGTAGTGGGCCCAGCTCTCGCGTGTTACAGTCTGCTGAGAAAGAGTTATCTGATTCTGAGGAGGAGGCAGAAGAGCAGAGCTGGGCAGATGAATGAGCAGTTTCAAGCCTGCCTACTGAGGATTCTTAGGCAGAGCATGGAGACCAGCCCTCCTTGGGAAGGGAGACATTTCAGAGCTATGGGGAGAGCAGATTGGGATGGAGTTCCTTGACCTGGTCAGGAGATGACAGACAAAATGAGTGGACCAATTAAGAAGTGCCAGTCTAGCCCTCAAGTAGCAAGAGGGTGGAGTCAGAATCTTTTCTGAGGGGGGTTTCAGTTCTGAGTCAACTTTTTACTTGGCCAGTTGGTTCTCTAGCATCTCAAGGAGGGCACTATGTTCATTTATACTGTTCAACAAAAAGACTGTGCTTGTAAAGTTCCATCAGAGTTTGCTGAAGTAGGAGAGAAGAAGGGAGAGCCCTGCTTGCAGCACAAGAGGCTTAATGTTAAATAGTGCTTCAAAGTAATGATCTGAGCTTCAAGTTTCCATTACACCAAATATTTGGCTTCTGTTCACAGCCATTTCACAGAACAATTTTAGCACTGTATAACTGCTTAAACATTACTGTGCCTACAGATTCCAAGTGCCTGCATAGGCTCTCAGAAACACAGAAGTTCATAAATAGCAAGCAAGATTAAAACAAAATCCATCACGCAAGGATGCCAAATACCTACCTTTGAGTCATAATCTTATAGGCATCTGGCAGATAACAACGGATATTCTCCATCTGGGCAGGATCAGAGTCACAGATTTTATCATCTGTCCTGCCATAGTTGGCACTTTCAATCATGATAACATCTGTTCCAGGGCAGCGTAGCTCTATTGGGTAGCTTTCACAAGACAGTTCCCTCCGGACCACCGCCATAGGAACAGGGGCACGACTAAATGCTGCAGAGAGAAGAGAAACAATTACATTTAATAAGAACAGCAGGATCCAAAACAGAGATTTTGTTCCATTACATAAAGACAGACTTAGGGGAGATATTTTAATTGTACAATGTCATTTTCCAAAATGAACAACTTACAGAATTACAAGTACACCCATGTAGCCTTTTAAACTCATTTTGTCTCTGCTCAAATATGATAACACTCAAAACTTACATATGCTTCTTATTAAAACCTACTTGGGACAAGTTTTTCTGCTGCAGCACAATTAAATTGGGTAAAATGTAGTCAACCCAACAGAATATGCATCAGATTATTTCCTAAATCATCTGTTAGTAACTAGTTCAAATTTAAAAATACATCTTTTTTAAAGTGACAACCTGATAGGGATTTGGAACGTCTCCTGTTACACTACTCCAGTGCATCCTGTTATTTATTTAGAGCACAGTTCTATGGGGATGCCCATAATCCTCTGAAATCAGTAGATTATAGGCACCATCTGTAAGTATAAGTTTCTGTACAGCCCAAAGTGCCTCATCCTGCCTAATCTTGGAAGTTAAGCAGGATCAGGCCTGGCTAAAATCTGGATGGGTGACTTAAATGTTGTGAACCACCCAGAGAGCTTTGGCTACGGGTGGCATAAAAATGTAATGTAATGTAATGTAATGTAATGTAATGTAATGTAATGTAATAATAGTAATAGTAGTAATAATAATAATAATAGTAATAATACTCTGGAGATTGGAGAAGCACAGAAAGAAAGGTTACCTCCATGCCCTTCCTGCCTTACAAAACAGCTAGACAGCCAATTTCAGCAGTATAAATGAGACACTTCAGAGGAGGAAGGAAGGAGGCTGAGGAACCATAAGAATAAGTCATATAGTGGGAGTGGTGGTCTTCTCCCCTCCCTGCCCCTTGAATGCCCACTAGCTGTCTTCTCAGAGGTCACTTGGGGACCCTGGAGAAGCTGGAGCAGTCCTTCTCATGCTGGCTACAAGATGGAGAGTGTAGTGATGCAAAGATCCACCTGGAGCCTGGTTCTCTTATGCTCGTCAGGCTTCCTTCCCAAGGTTTGCTCTAGCCTAGGAAGCAGAACAAGCCAAGGTCAAGTCCATAAATGCTTGGAAACACTAGCAGGTCCCTTCTTTGCACTGAATTATTTTTCTGTGAAGTATGCAAAGTCCTCAAGTCACATGCATGGAAGCAGAAATCCATTTGCCCAGTGAGTGTGCATGTGTGGAAGCCAGTCTTGCAAGTTCTACTTGCCCTTCTGTAACGTGACACACAACAGGGGGACTCGCTTCCTGCTGGCACTTGGCACGAGTCGGACTTAAGGCAGAAAGAAAGTGGGACAGAGTCTGGGGAGCCAAATCATGGAAATCCAGTGGATTCCCACCTCCAGATCAGGTTACTCATATATTGGTAGGAGGGAGAACATGAGCACAGATTCCTAGCCCCAAGGAGAGAGTGGCTTTCAGACCTCGGATCTGGGACTCTGAAGAAGACTGTGGTCCCTAGATGCTACCTAGGGAGTCACAGGATCACTCTGACTACATCTTTAGTTGCCAGTGTTCAACACCTTGTGCCTGTTGCTCTGTGAGTTTAAGGTATAGGATGATTCATACAATGAATGAAAAAGTGATGTTGCATGCATGCAGCTGGTCACTAGGCACATGCATTCCCCTGGAGTCCTGCTTCTGCCATAATGGAACAAGCTGCCTAAGGAGAAGGTGGCAGAATTGCTTCCTTAAAGGTTTAGGAGGACAGTCTGAAACAGACTCATCCACTTTGAAGCTATGAGTATGTGTCAGATGAACTGAGGGGTATAATTATTAGCTACCATGTGACATTCAAGTTATTCTACCCTAAAGTAAAATGGAAATGTTCAATATTGTTTAAAATGGTTGAAATTCAAGGGTCAAGAGAGGCAGAGTGTAATTAGGAATTGGCAAGGTCTAGGAATTAATTCTGATTCAGTTTCAATCCCACAGGTATCTCTGTTTGGCAAAATCCACCATGTTCTGTGACAAGCTGGAAAGTCAGCGTTGGAGCACAAACAGGTAAGTTTTATACATTAAGGACACAAAAGTATGCATGTTTAGACAGGAAAAAATGTCCTACAACTTCCTGGCTTGATGGGGCATGCTGGGAATTGCAGGCCATTTTTCTGTCTGAAGTTGCATAGGATGGTACTTTTGGACAACTATGAAAAGACTGGAGGAATTCCCAGTGAAAACTGCCCCTGCATTTTCCCTTCTAGACATACTAAAATAAAAAATAAACATAGTATGATCTCCCTCCCACACCTCCAGCCTTTTATTGGCTGTTGAGAAAGTGGCAGACTGAACTGTTAAACAAGTATCAGCTATTCTGGATGGAGCTCTGGCTTTCAGCCAGCTCTTCTGGTAATCTGGATTACTCTTCAGGGCAGTCAGTGGCCATCTGTGCTTTGTGAGAACTACCTGGAGAAGGGAGCTTGACACTGAGGTCACTGTGCAAAGCCCAGGGTTGTCCCTGGTGGTTCCATGTGAGCTGTTAGCAGTGTTAGGGGTAAGAAAGCAACACCGCTTAAAGCAAATAGAGCTTTAAAGTGAGCAAAACACAATGCTCTTTTGGGTTTAAAGCACAAGGCAGGCCCAGGAAAGAACACCTTCATCATCATCATCATCATCATCATCATCATCATCATCACATTTCTATGCCGCCCCTTGCCAAAGCCTCGGGGCGGCTTACAACATCCCCTCTGCCCCAGGTGATTTTAAAAGGACACGGACTGATTTATAAGCCAAACACATAGAACAGAACAGAACAGCTGTCGAAGGCACCTTGTTTTACATCATGGTTCTGTAGAGAGCTGGGCACTGAACTAGGGATGTACAGACACCACTCCCTCCATTTTGCCTGCATTTCACAGAGTGCTAGGCAACATTCGTTCTGTCATAGGACTGGATTGTGCACAAAATTCACTCCTGCAAAAAATCTGTCCTGGAAAGGTGAAACTCTTTCCAAAGTTCACATTTTCATGCTTTTGGTCATTTTTAAATAATTATTTTGTATTTTGTTATAACTAAACTTACATAAAACTACAGAAAGTAAACACAAAAGAAGCGTCTTTGAGTCCATGTGACTGAGGAAAAGCCGGTCCACCACAAGGTCTGTGGGTCCAGTTCATAGAATCCAAACCCATTTGAATCCCTTGTGGATTTCATGGAATACCTTAAATTCTTCATTGATGGTACTGAATTTTGGGGCAATTATCCAAGTTTAACATCTCAAATGCATTGAGTAAAAGGCACATATTTCCCCCACAAGTTTAATCTTCACTTACTTGTTCATTTCCAACCTGACAGAACATACACACATTCCCTCAGAACAATACAGTTTCTTCACATTCCCTCAGGCCATTGACTGGATTTACACACCAAGACTAGTGACCCCACATAGTTTAACAGTGTACAATGTTCTCCCTGGATATGCCTGACAGACGACCAAGTCGTTTTTATGCTAGTGTGGCTTTCACCCTCCTCACTCAGTCCTGTCACTGTTGGCATTTTCCCCACCAAATTAAATCTCATACTGGAAGGCTGGAGTAGCTCCTGCAGCCGCCACTCTTTCCAAGGGACTCTGTGGCAGCTGCACAGAAAGACCGTGAAAGCCACAATGCCAGGTTGAGACAACTGAAAAAACATGGCACACCATAGAATAGACCACTGTTTCTTCTTGTGTTTTCTAAAATCCAAACAAAGCATGCAGGAGTACCACAGCAGGATTTGGAAGACAGAAAAGACCAGCTTGCCCAAGAACCTATCATGGTTTGCTGTTTTGTACAAACCTGCCCACACTGTAAGTAAGTATTTTGATGTCAGGATGCTTTATAAAGCTGCAGATGTTTATCTTGTGCAAGAATATAGTCTCTAAAATCTTCCAGTGATTTCCCATGGCCATTTAGAATGAATCAATGCATCTGAAAGGTCTTTTTCACCTTTTTCGCCTTCTTTTTAGTTGTCCCTCTAGAAATAGTGTTTATTTTACAATAAGGCTGAGTAATTTATGTTGTATGCCTATTCATAACAAAGTGTTATCTTCAAATTATATTCAGCTCTTTTATTATTGCAGAAATAATTCATCCTTTTCAGTGTATTTAAATGCAAAGCATTTCTTCCCTCTTCATCTTCAACAGTGAGACTTCTTGGTTGTTTACAGGAAAGAGCCAGTGTGGTGTAATGGGTAGAGTACTGGACAGAGATTTAGGAGCTCCGGCTTCTAGTCGCCACTCAGCCAGGAAGCTCATTGGGTGACTTTGGGCCAGTCACTGACTCAGTTAGTAGGTTAGTAGCCTAACCTACTTCACAAGGTTGTTGTAAGGATAATGATGTAGGTTCCTACCCTGGGTTCCTTGCAGGGAAAAAGGCAGGACAAAAATATAAATACTAAATGAGTATCCAAAGGCTGACCTGGTCCTGTCCAATACAACAGCCTCAGTGCCTGGTAGATATTACACTCATCGCATGAAAAGAAGCCATATGTTAGCCAGGCTTTGGCAACTGAAAATGGTAGAGGCCTCCCTAGAGACAGGCAAAGAAAACTTGAGCTCATGGTAAAACATGCCACCCTTTTCCCATTCCCTTTTATCCATGCATCTTTCTGATGGTGCTAGAATGCAAAAGTGCTATATGAATGCATGCAGCACCTGCGCTGAGCTGTAGGTGGGCTCCCTGCCCCTGGTAAGGGTCTTCTGTTTTTAATTTGAAAATGTTACAAGTGAGTTCTAAACACATTTGTATTACTTTTGCATTGCACAACTGTATGGTGGTGGTTCACTTTGTGGATAGGGTTTTTTTTTTTTTAAACTCCAATGATATTTTCCCCTCCAGAAAAAATAGGAAGCGTTTTATTTTTGAAAAAAATGTAATGCAATCCTCCTGGTCTGTTCTTGTTGATGGAAATAATAAAACTAAATGAATATATTTTTCTTCCGCCCAAGCTGACTGGGGTGGCAGTGA